GAATTATCCAGCGATGGCAAGATATGGATATAGTAAAATAGGTGTTCAATGTATAGTCATAAAATGAAGATGCCAAATGTTCCCCATAGATATGCATTAAGTTAATGCATCTCTATAAGGAAATGCAGGAAAAAAGGTATTTAACAGGGCCTATAGTGTCCCTTAACCCCTTAAGGACCAAACTTCTGGAATAAAAGGGAATCATGACATGTCACACATGTCATGTGTCCTTAAGGAGTTAAAACAACTCTCAAACTGTAGGTTAGTGAATTAAATCTGGTATTAAGTGGCAATGACTACTAGCAGTAGGCACAGCTAATGGAATTCTGAATTATGGATTAACCGAACCAGGTCATCTATCATGCCACTTGGTTCTTTTAGAATTTGGGTATATTTTGGCTCAGAATTTGGTATTCAGATAGAACCAAATGTCCACGTCTAGCTGTTGCTAGCTATTGTGATGAAAATCTTCAGTTTTGTTCTGCCATTTGTTGTCGTCATTGCGCAGATCTCACAATGCCCAAAGGGTGACTCAAGCCATTTTTCTTTTCCTTTGTTCTAGTTCAAAAAAGTTAGTTCTTTCTATATACGTTTCTGCAGTGGGTAATAAGACTTTCTTTCTCACCTAATCAAGTGATTCTATAACTAGATTTAATCACTGGAAGCACTTTAACGAGTTGACCCTATTTGCCCCTCAAAGCTTTTTGTATGACCCAAGGCTGAAAAAAGAAACCCTTAGGTATTATTGTATTACACCATTTATTTAATGGAACCTGGCCTCAAGCCCAGTATGGAAATGGAGTATTATGTGAATCCCATAGATTTTCTTAATCAAAATAAAATACCAGGACAGACGTCTAAGTGCTGTAGTCATGAAACATCAAGATATTGAATGGTAGAAGAACCCGAAATGAATAAATAATGTTGCAATCATGTAAAGAAGTAATGGAAATCTCCATTATGCTATTAAAATGATTGTTCAAACAATTGGTATAAGCTTAATATAGAGCAAGATCATTTGACTATTAGTTATGCTGTAATATTTTTATAGCAGTAGATGTTCCCTGTTTCGTGTTCTCATTGTCACAAGTAATAACAGCGTCTAAATGTAAGCAGTGGCACCTCTATCCAGACTTTTAAGTAGCTAAAAATAGCAATCCAGCTTTCTAGCAAGCGTTTGCAATGATAGAAACCAGACTGTCAAACTATTGCAACGTGAGCTGTAACTTGTACTCAAGTTAAAATGTTTCTTTCAGGGACTAAACCAAAACCATGAAGAAATACAGACGACACGAAATACAGAAAAATAAAAAAATAGAAAAACAATCCCAGATCACGTTTTTTATACATTTTTATTGATGGGGAAATAAAGCTACATTTTACTACTTGTGTCAATCATTGAAACTATGTTTTATCTCTGATCATTTCTTTATTCACCAATGAATCTGAGGTTCATGGAGTTTCAGAGCTCAGAAGTCACAGGAATGGGAGGGAGGTTAAAGAGAGTTCTCATGAAAATACAGTATTTTCCCGATCAAATTGATTGCAGAGAATTTCTTTGAGTGGTATGCTATATTCACGTTATAACAGCATTGGGTCTGAGAGCAAAGGGTTCTAGCTTGTATAGTATAAAGTTCTACCTAGAAGGTAATCCATCAATAGTCATTAAAGACATGAATTACAGAGATGAACTAATGTTTTCATCTAATCTAAACATTAAGTTCCATAGGGTAAATTAACTCCTTCACTACCAAGCAATTTTTGATTGAAAACATATTAGAATAACATTTAGCCGGTTTGACGCACATCCCTTGCCTGGCGCATGTGCTGAATTTGGTGGTGCAGAAATTCCTGAAAAACTACCCATATATCAGAGCTGCTGCAGAAAGTGTGTGCCGTCTGTGTGCACTTTCGGTGTTCTTACCCCGCTGCTTGCCTGTCTGCGCTGCAACATAACTTCGGCCTTCCTGCTCACCGCCTCATATGCGACGTGACCACAAGGTGGAACTCCACCTTGCACATGCTGGAGAGAGTGGAGTTTCAGATGCAGCACGCATGGGTCAGTCGCTCTGCGGAACAGCACCACTTCACAACCAATGAGTGGGCCTCCATGCGAGACCTGTGTGCCATGTTGCGCTGTTTCGAGAACTCCATAAGCATTGTCAGTGCTGATGACGCCATTCTCAGCCTTGCTATCCCGCTTCTATGTCTCCTTGAAAAAAACGCTTCGGGCGATGATGGAAGAGGATGCGGCACAGGAGGAAGAAGAGGTGACATTTCCACGGTTATCAGGCCAGTCATTCACAAGTGGCTCAGTGGGTTCCTGCACCAGCATAGGCCAGGTACACAATTGTCCAGCATCTCCACAATGTCCCATGGAAGCATTCAGCTGTCCATCTCCCAAACACTGGAGAGAAAGAGGAAGTACCCCCCTAGCCACCCGTGATCCCTGGCCCTGAATGCCAGCATTTCAAAATTCTTGGCCTTTGAAATGCTGTCATTCCGTTTGGTGGAGACGGACAGTTTTAAACACCTGATGACATTATTGGACTGCAATAAATGCACCGCAGGCCGCAAATCTTTCTTTTTTTATATGTCCCACTATTTTGGGGGCTACCCCAATTTAAAAAAACAAAAAAACAAATAAAAAACAGTGTTGGCTACCTCCTCCTCCTCCACCGCCGCTTCCACCTACACCGCCCCGGTCACCACCTCCTCAACCTATGGGTCACTTAGTATAAACTATGTACACAATAGCAGAGGCTTGTGAAGGCCTTTTCTCCATGAATCAGGAGTTGAGCTCAGTTTGAACAATGAAAGAAATACCCTGCACTCCAACCCTCCCTCAAATGGATCATTATGGTGATCCTCCTGACAGCCATGCTTTAGATTTTGATTTATGTTCTTCCAAAGCTAAAATCAAAGATTCCATCTAGTGCTATTTTATTGCTCAGCAGTATTTTAAATTTTTAGGTATTTTATGTTATTTTAAGTGATTTCCCTATCCACATTTGTTTGCAGGGCACTTGTCCTACTCTTACCCCCATTTTACTTCCCTTTGCAGCCCTAGCCCTCTAGCCCTTTCCAGAACACTTTTTAGAGCCATTTTTGTGCCCAAAAGTTCGAGTGGGGTTAGGGTTCGGGGGTCAAATTCGGGGTCAAGTTCGATCCCGAACCCGGACTTTTTTCCGAAGTTCGGCCGAACTCGCCGAACCCGAACATTTAGGTGTCCACTCAGCTCTAAATATGACCTATTAAAACATCTTGTGCTGTTTGAAAGCAAGAGGTAGACTTACATATTCTGCAACTTTACAGGCACTATTTCAATAGTTAGTAGTTTCTGGCAGAGAGATGAATTCCTCTGCAGGCTGGAAATCATTATTAGACTATAAATGAAGGTGATTGAGGCTTTATGAACTAAATTTCATAATGCAAAATATATGAAAATAAAAACCTTTACGCTTGGTTTGGGTGCTTAAGAGGTTAAGGTGTCCTTTATATGTAAATTCAGGGGAGGCTGGCCCTTTGGGGACGTTGGGGCAACAACCTACCAGTTTTCGAAGCAAAAACAACACCTTGTGTTTGTTTCCTCCCTTCCTTCCATTATTGATGGCTGAAGATACTGTTGAGTTGCTGAAGAACTAATCAGATCCAATTTTTGGTAATATATGAAAGAAAAGTCCAATACATTTAGTGTAGGCTTCTAAGATTTGGTCAGTGTTCTCCTCTGTCCTATGGTGTCTGATCCGTGGGTAAATTTGATTGGCACATGAAACAGAACCTATGCCTTGATACTAACTGATTTCTCATTGATAGCTGACTTTTTCATGTTCTGTGTCAAAGAAATATACTTTAAAGTGTAACCACATCATGGTAGCTTTAAAAGCAAATTTAAGGTGGTTTAATCTAATTTAAGAAAAAATCAAATTAAGTATTTGTGTTCCCTTGCCAGACTCTGTGTTAATTTCTTAAAGGACCACTATAGTGCCAGAAAAACAAACTGTTTTTCCTGGCACTATAGTGCCCTGAGGGTGCCCCAACCCTCAGGGTCCCCCTCCCGCTGGGCTCTGGGGAGAGATAGGGGTTAAACACTTACCTTTCTCCAGCGCCGGGTGGGGAGCTTTCCTCCTCCTCTCCTTCTTCCTAGTGACGTCATCGGCTGAATGCGCATGAACGGCAGGAGCCGCCCGCGCATTATTATTATTATTTTATTATTTATATAGCGCCAACAAATTCCGTAGCGCTGTACAATGGGTGGACTAACAGACACATAATTGAGATCAGACCACTGACGTACAGGAACAGAGGGGGTTGAGGGCCCTGCTCGATGAGCTTACATGCTAGAGGGTGCATTCATAATGCTTTCCTATGGACGCTGGCGTCTTCTCACTGTGATTTTCACAGTGAGAAGCATGCAAGCTCCTCTAGCGGCTGTCAATGAGACAGCCACTAGAGGCTTTGGAGGCTGGATTAACCCTCAGTGTAAAAATAGCAGTTTCCCTGAAACTGCTATGTTTATAAAAAAAGGGTTAATCCTATCTGGAACTGGCACCAAGACCACTTCATTAAGCTGAAGTGGTCTGGGTGCCTACAGTGGTCCTTTAAGTGTGGACAAGCTACAAACCCCCATCTTGAAGTAACCACATCAAACCTTTTTAAACCCATGTTTATTCAAAATTAGTTGAGAAGTTGAAAGGTCATAATATAATTCTTAAAATGCGCACATATACTCCTGTGCAAACCTCCACCATTAATGTACTGTATGTAATCTCCTATATCTTATATTGTCTTATTGTAGCTCTCTGGACAGTAAACTCCAAGTACACAAACAAAGCAAAGCAAGTTTCACAGAGTTAAAAGTCACACTCCATTTAAAAGCTATATTTTCAACAATTGAGTACATACACCCCAAAAGAAAACATGCATGTACTTCTGCCTGCACGTTTTTTTAATTTCCAAGCTTTTCAGTCTGTGTTGGGAGTACTCCGATCAAACACTTTTCATTGAGAGGACTCTGTGCTAAAGCTACAAGTGCGCACGTGTGATCATGGCTTACATCTCAATGAGTTGTAATACATTGAGAAAGGGTGAAGACAGTTACAAACTAGCCCAGCAGGCCTGCTGCTTCCGTGAGCTCTCTGAAAGCTAACAGAATTATAAGAGAACTTCCCTGGTTGTCTGAATGACTGCCAGGGATATTGCTTCTGTCCCAATTTTAATAGATTGGTGTTCTACAAATTTAAGGTCAAGATAGCCAAACTAGAAAAAGGCAGTAATACTTCCAATTTGGGCTAAAACTTTGATTTCACTTTAAATTCTCACTTTTGTGAATAACTCTGATAATGCACTCTAGCAAGCTGAAGCGGTTTATGTGTATGGAGTGTAACTTTAAAGTTATCTTTAACATTTTTATTCTGTGTAATTGAGTTTTACAATTTACAAGTCTCTTTTCAAGTTACCATACATTTTTGTTTAGTGACAAGGAAAGAATGTGTAGTTTGCTTTTATCAAATAATAAACACTGCCCTTTATTAATTGGAGAACTGATTATCCTTATTAACAGAATAATATGATAAATAGTCCCTTAAGGAGGTGGACCTAGATATCCCAAATGTGCAGTTGGTAAAATATTTCCCTTACATTAATATTTTATTTAAACCACACACTTAAACTCCTTGGTGAATAATTAGTTAAAAATTTGACAAATTGCACAATCAGGATAGATCAGGGTAACATTTGTACAGAACATAAAATGATTTGCTACATTTAATATCCTCTAAAATGCTTGTGAGGTTCTGCTAATGGAACCCTTAGCCATCACTCAGTAGCACATAGCAGCTATTAAAACAGACATTAGAAGCCAAATGAAAAAAATTGTCACTATAAATAAATTATCATGTTTTAGTTTTTAAATAATGAAGATGACATTTTGGATAAACATTAACATGATTTGTTTTACACATAATCCAAAATGGTTTCTTTAGTTTTTATGTGTTTCTTAGTTAGTAGAAATGTTAGAAGTAATAAAAAAGTGTAATGTTTTTTTAAATATAAACACCATTTCAGTGCTTTATAGCTAGTGCCTTGTGCCAACATTTAATAATAACTAGAGTTAAACTCTTTATTTTACTTTTATTATATATGATTGTCTGGAAGTTTTGCTATATCTTTCAAACACTTATACTACTTAAACATTATGTACCCAAAACAATATTTTTGCAGTGCCTTGTGCCACTTTTCTAGTCTAGTAACCCTTTCAATACCCAAATGAAATATAAGCATTTCTATTTTCATGTTTTTTAAAATACTAAATCTAGTTCCTAAAGCCTCACTCACACTCATTTATACTCTAGTTATGATTATCAACACATTTCTCTACCACTAGCTGCTAGTCACTGATATCATGTCTGTAAAGTGGCTGAAAATGTAAGTGCATTGCTTGCTTTCAAACAGTGCAGGATGTTTCAATGAGTCATATTATTCCTAGAGTCAGGAAGAGCAAAGGAGTGAATCGGCTCTACCATTTCCCTGTTAACATTACATTAGCAATCCAGAGATTGATAAAGATTGCAATAGTCGTTTTAAATAGTTTAATTTAGAAATATATGTTTTACCGTATTTACTTTATGTGGGCATCATGCTCAGATGCATACATTCTTTTTACATGTCTTTGCCATTTTTGTAAGCTTTACTGTTAGTCATGACTTTAGGGTGCTTACAAATATCTATAAGAAAAATATTTGACTAGTGTATTTATATATTTTTGTCACACCTAATGTACGTGAGAATATTTTTATTTTTGCTGTTATACTAGCATTTCAGACCCTGTGTGAAATATGGCAAGATAAAGACAACTGAATAGTGTCTATTTTTTCATTTCCAAATAATTTTTCGAAAAGGTAAACATATAAGTGAAGAATAAAAAATAAAATGACGGAACTTTACACTATTTTTATGTTTGTCTGCAGACCAGTCACAAAATTGTTCTGCTGTTATATAAATATAACACATATATTTCCCAAGTACAGTGTATTAATCTCATAAGAGCTGGCATTAGGTTGCTAGAGTAGGAACTGCCAAGAATGGAGTACATTGGGGGATGGCAATATGTGATCATATATTGTAACTAAACCTCTATTATTTTTGCCCTGGTTAAGTATTAGTTTAAAAAAACCTATTGCAAACTGTGAACTTTGAGATTACTGTTTGGTGAATGAGTGAGTGTGCTGGATCTTGTATGTTGTATGAATTGGCCCCAGCAGCACTCTTATAATTTATAATGTTCAGGTGAGTGTAGCCCTCTTTTTATATAATATGCTAATAATAATAATAACAATAATAATATAATTTTATATGTTGGGGACCTGTCTGGCAACCCCCTGCAGCTATCATCACGCTCACTGACTCACATCAGCTGGATTGACTCCAGGAGGACTGCCTGGGTTGTCAGGCAGGCTCCCGGATTGCGTTTGGCAGCTAAGGTAAGATGGTGGGCCAGAGGGAGGGTCAGATCATTAGGGCACGCTATGCTCCCCTAACGGTATCAGAGCCCTCCTTTTGTAGGAAGGCATAGCACACCCTAACAGCCTGATGAGCTTAACCCCGTAAGGACACATGACATGTGTGACATGCCATGATTCCCTTTTATTCCATAAGTTTGGTCCTTAAGGGTTTAAACTATGAAAACTGCATGCCCAATAGAGTGTATATATAAAGACCAACAAGTGTATGGAAAACAAGTCCTTTACAGGTGAACAGTTGAATTTTAATGTTTTTAGCAATTGTGAAGATAAAATTCAATGCAACACTGAATGTCAATTCTTTCTGTCTGCACACTTTGACTTTTTATTCACCTGTACTTTTGTAGTTTTCTTCATATGACAGCTCACTATACAGTGAAATTAAAAGAACTGAAAATCAAATTGTAAAATGTAGGTTACAATAACCATGATATGAATACCATTTCATGTTTTTCTTCAGAATTAAGAATTATTCTAAATCATCTATTTAGGATATAAGCAAAAGACAATGGACACAACAAGCTAAAACTGCTAGTTTATAAGCATATATTTTGCAATTCTGCTTCCAATCTACTACACTTCATTGCTTAGTGAAAAAACCTGCTAAAATTATTTTAAAATATATAGTTGACTTTTACCATTTTTTCCAAACAAGACGTACTGTCTTTTGAGAGTAAATGATCTTACTAAAGTTTCAAAGTATTTTTAATAAATCTACACTCTAAGAATAAAAAATTACCCAAAGGACAAAAATGGAGGCTGTGGCTCATTATTACCCAAAATGCATTGGGACAAATGCTGAACACAAAGTATACCTGGCTGACAGAACATTAATTTGCCGTCTCTAGCAAATCACAGCTTTACTTTTTATAGCTCTATTATCTGAATATAACTACTATTTTGTTTAGCTTTATAATGTCTAACTATCAGGGTTATTCACTAAAGTGAGAATTCAATGTGAATTCAAAGTGAATTTCTAATTTTAAGGCCAGAGTAGCTGAACTGAACGTATGGCTAACTTGGATAATTTTTTCCATTTGGGCTATTTTGACTTGAAATTTACTTGCAATTCACTTTGAATTTTCACTTTAGTGAATAACCATGTATGTATTTCTTTGGTCTACATTTGATATGTGGAGTTTTTATATAATATTCTGTTATAAACAAAGACCTGATTTTATTGCTTGTTAAATTGCACTATTCGTTTTTTATGCCTGTGCTGTTTGTTTTGTCAAGCTTCGACTTTATTTTGTTGTCCTCTATATTTCAAATATGTGTTAAGCTTCTTATGTATTCTGTTGCATCACACAAGCAGACAGTATTCTACATTTGCCTTGTTTTACCTTGTCCAATGGAATAAAAGAGACTTGAGAAATGTGTCAGCAATCATGACCACACACAAAAGGACTTAAGACGTCCACCCCAACAGACAAAAGCTAAGTCAGGAGATGCACTGAAAATTAGATATTTAGATATATGTATAATACACAAAGGCAACAATAAGCATAATCTTTTATTTTAAATAATAGTTAAAAATGTGACAGCATTCCTTTAAACCTATTAGTGCATTCTGGAGTATAAATGAGGGTGATGGAGGCTTTATAGGAATATATTTTGTTCTGCAAAGTACAGGTAATACATTAAAATAACAATGATTAAACTTAATTTTGGAAGTAAAGGGCTTAAAGGTGGATTTATAAATCTACATGTATAAACAATACAAACCAAACAGCTTCACTTTAAAATCTGTTTCTTACTGTATAAATTTCTATCTATAACTGGTGATATATTTACTTTTTCTATAAGATAGCATTATGACAGTGACAGGCTTCTGGTGTTACAAGAAGCAATGGAACAGGAATCTTTAATATACATTTTATATTCAGAATCATGACATGCATGAGAAATTAATGAGCTTTTGCTTCTTAATTGAGAGTATAATTTATGTTTAACCTTCATTTTTTTCATTGCTTCCATCTCTTTTCACACATATCTTTCAATATAAAGTATTTCCTGTAAGTAAATCTTTATACAGAAGCAAATCTTTTTGCTTAATTGGCTTAACCCTGAGAGTATTCTCTAAGGGTTTAAGTTTTCCTTTGACCATCAAGTAACATAATTTGATGACTCGGTCTTCTACAGCTACAGTGGAACCTCAGAACTCAAACTTAATCCATTCCAGAATGTGTAATGATGAGAGTTGATAGCGTAAGTGGAAAGGAGAAGAGCTATCATTGTTTGAATGGGGAGTCGTCTTCTATTATTACTATAGGTAACTGTTCTGGCGTTCTTTCCCTTGATCGTTTCACACCATTGAAACCTGGTCGAGATTTACTGGACCTTTTCTTCACTAAAAATTTGTCTATTGCCTTGTCAAAAATTTGACTTGCTGTTGTCTATGTTTTAAAATGTGTCTAAAGTGAGACATAGCGTTATCATTGAATATGTTTGTGGCATGACTTACAACAGCTTTATCAGGTTGATATTTTTCAACAACATTTTGCACTTCAACCCACTTCGCACACATTTCTTTGATCAGTGAACTAGGAATATTTTGCTTTTCCTCCTCATCCTCCTCGTCTGAAGACAATTCCTCGGATGCCCTCTTTTGCTGCTCCCTCTGAAGGTCTTGGAGTTCTTCTGTGGGGAGTTTGTTCTGGTGATCCTCCATTAACTCCTCACATCTTCATCATTCACCTCTAAGACCGTTGATTTCCCCAGAGACACGATATCCTCAACAACAGAAGCATAATGTTCAATACCAGAATAGACTCTTTCAGGGACAGCCTCTGGTCACAATTTCCCCCAGGCTAAGTTCATGGGGCTGAGTTGCTATAAGACACATCCCTCCATGCTTTATCTATGAGGTGTAAACAATGTAGGATATTAAAATTATTTTATAGAACTCTCTAAGGGTTAGCTCTGTGTCTGAGGTTACTTCAAAGCACCTTGCACCTATGTCTAAATTCAGTTTCTAAGGGGCGTACACATAAGATTTGCCTAATACTTTAAAATAAGTGTCTATCATAGAAAAAGGGGCTTAACCATTCTGTCCAAACTGTAATTAACACCATACATTATATTTGTTGGTAAACTATGAGTTACACAAAAGGCTATATACATTAAATAAATAAATGCTTCCAGGGAGTCTGGCTTGCAATGCTGGGTCAAAGGTCAATATCAACAAGCATTCATGCATCATTATCTTAACAAGAACCATATGTGGTGACCGTTGATATACAGATGAATAGGATATCAGTTCTTTGTCTGAAAGTGGTTTGAAATTAAATTAATTTAAACTAATTAAAAAGTTATAATTTTCATATTACAAAGATAAAATCCTAAATTTTTTTAAAAAAAGGCTCCTTCTCCATTTGTCAGTACTAATCTAGTCTTATTTAAATTGATTACCATATTATTTGTGCACATGGCCCTATGTAAGAAATGTAAAATAAATAAACTGATGTAATGATAAGCATTATATTTATGTGTTTCCATCTTTTCATTGTTTTGTGTATATTAATCTCAATTCAGATAAAGTATTTTCTTTCAAGTCAACCCCAATTGGGTTTTTTGAAAAGGTGTTTGATTTACTGGATGTACAGTTCAGTTTATTTTAGAAATCAGAACATAAATGAACCCATGTTTAGGTGACCCATTTAAGTGGCCTACCTATGCTAATTCAGAAGAAAATGTACTCAATCGAGCGGCTATTAGAATAACAGTAAAGAAGAATAAGTGTTATCTTGTAGCAAAACACAAGATGAATCTGTTAAAAATACTGCCACAGAGCATTCAACACTTTTTTATTTCTTCTTATTCCAGATCAACAGCCTGCCTGCCATATTTTTGGACAGTTCAATTTTCAGCTTTATGAGTTTCTAAACTATGACTAATGTACTACGGCAGAATGCTAGAAGATGTGAGTGATTATATTGAACCCTGCAAGGACAGCCTTACTGGTTCAGATACAAGCATTGAATGGTGAGAAAAAAGTGATTGATAGCACTGTGTTTTTCATAGAAGAAGGCAGGGCCGGGTTACACTTTACATGCATTGGGGACAACCAAAGGTTTGTAACTATTTGTGTGTTGGAGGCTTTTGTAGATTGTTTCACATAAGGAGCTTTTGTTAGTTTTTTTAGTTGTCCATTTTTTTTAATGAAAATCTTGCTTAACCATTACACAATACAATTCTATATTACCTTACTTATATTTCTAGTACTTATAGACTTATTATGTTTCTCAGGTGTATTGTATAACTTTAAAGTCTTCTTTTTCCATTTTTTATCCATCCCTTTTTTCTCTCAATAAAATTTGATTAAAAACAAAATTGCAACATCAAAAGAATGTTTTATTATCATGCACCCAAAAAGGGTAGCATTACTTTGAAAATGTTCTTTTACTTTGCTAAAATGTTTTTCTAAATGTAAATTGCTTTTTTTTTTCACTCTAATTAGGTACACATCATAATAGATCTGATTATACTCAATTCAATAGTTACAGAGCACATAACACACAAAACATCTCATACCAGGAAGTGTAACCTATAATCACAAGCTATTATGATGTGACAATATGTGTGATGAGAATAGATGTAGGTAAGTAATAACATTTTTACATTTCTGTTAATAATAACAGTGGATAGGGTGTTTATTTAGAAACTATTCTTCTGAGGTTGATTCATTGAACATTAAAATATAGTGAATATTGCTAAGGTTAAACTAAAATAAGAAATATTTTAAAAAATCTCCAACTCAATTATAATCAGAACTTGGTTACTTTTCCGTAATTTTAATTCAGTTCAATTCAGTATTTAGTGAATGAACCCTTGTGGTTTCAGTAGAAGATTAGAATTTTTAGTTATTGTGCACTTGGTTAATATTCCGTGCTAATCTGCAGAATCAAGAAATGGTTTAATGTGCTGTGAAAAAAAGAGTTCCTGTGCTTACATATCTGGATTAATTTTGGTTTCTCTTTTTTTTAAATTAAAAGATATCATCCTTCTCCCAAAAATATCTTCAAAATGACCAGCTATCTGATATTGTGTAAGTAAATATGTTAACACTCAGCGTGTAAGTTAACTTCTGTTTATCATCATCACTTTCAGATACTACAGGAGAAGGGCAAAAGTCTTATAAACTACCATGAAACGCATCTAAACGAGACTGTTAGAGCTGTTTTAACAACAAAATGCCTGTTTTGAAACATTGATTCATTGTCTCTGAAAACTGAACTGTGTTCCACCTTGAAATCAAGGCAATATGTTACATATTTCATGACACCTGGGTGCAATCAAAACGATGAAATGCCAAACATGTCATAAAAATGTGCAACCATGATAAGAAAAATACTGATTACTCTGTTGTTCTTGTGATAAATGTTTAAGAATTTTGTTGTTCTTCATTGTTTAAAAGTCCTTAAATAAATATGTAAGAGTCTTCCATTACAGATAACAGTATCCAAACAATGCTATATGGAATATAGATTTGTATTCTATAGCTTTTAAATACAGTGAGTTTTGTTTGATATTTGTAATATTTATAGATGACTTGCATGTTTGCAGAGTTGCATGAGAGGCAAACAGTAGACTAACTTTTCAGTTGCCATGCATGTGATGAGCACATTACTACATTACTCTCTACTTTGTGATCACATTTATTTTTAATTCTTTATTTTTGTTGTGCATGAGAAGTAAAATCCAGCTATGAACCCTACAACAACGATAACAATGACATTTAAAAACATATAGCAAACATAGTTTTATGGCAACCCTAGAAACTGCACAAATTTTAAGTATTAAGAGAAACTGCCTAAAGCTGCATGTAGCCCATGGATCAGCGCAGCTAAGAGGAATAGGCCTTGACAGAGCCAGGAGGTAGGCATAGCAGCCACAGGAAGTTAGTGACAGCTAGCGTGCTCGGTAGGGCGGAGCCATAAGGGGAGTATTTATACCAGCCATTATATGAAGTGGCCATTTTAACTGAACCTAAGCTTACCTGTCAGTTGTCCCTCCCACCCTCCCTGTATTTGGTTAGTTGATTTCCCATTTTTTCACAGTGGCAGGAAATGGCCTGGTTAAATCGGAGGGTAGATGGAGGAGAAAGTGGGCACCCTGAGGTTTAGTGTGGATTGGGCAGTGTTGCACGTGGTTGGTAGGTTCGAGCACGTCGGTGGCTCCGAACCTGGGGGTGTGGTGGTGTCTTGGTACACCCTACACTGGAACTGGTGGGTAGCGGTGTCTCGGTACACCTCTACAATGGATATGGTGGGTAGCGGTGTCTTGGTACACCCCTACAATTGATATGGTGGGTAGCGATGTCTCGGTACACCCCTACAATTTAACCTGGTGGAAATGTGGTCATATTGGGCGGCCAGTTTCTGTATTAACATGTTATTTAGATTGTTATCTATTGTTATTATTGTAGGGTCATTGCTAGGGGTATGTTATGTATATGGGGGGATGTTAACTTTAATAAGATTTGTTGGCAATGACCCCATTTGTTATTCCTTAATTATTTTATTAATAATTTAATAAAGCTGTGGACTAATTATTTCCAACAGTATAACCTGTGTCCTTGTTTTAAAGGGGGTTTGGATAAGGTTAGCACATATGCCGGCAAATCCAACTGTGTGCCTGTCATGAGGTAGTGAGACAACGCCAATGAGTATATGTGCTAAGCATAGGCATGTGCAGCCTATTCCATTAGGGTGTGCACCCTAAAGCACAAACACACACCGTGTGTATATGTATGTATATATATGCATATATATATGTGTGTATGTAAGTGCAGAAGTATGTACATGTAAAGTTGGGAATGTGAGTGTCAAAGCATGTGTGCCAAGACGTGTATAGTGTATCCATAATGTATGTGGCACCTATCACTCATTAAGCCATAAAAACCATACTCAGAATTACGCTCTCAAACACACACATAATACTTTTAAAAATACACACCAAACACATTCACATTTACATCCTCAAACATACATACACACCATTATATCCTCAAACACACACACACAATTACACCCTCAAACACACACACACACACACACAATTACATCCTCAAACATACAATTACACCCTCATACATACATACACACACACATAATTACATTCCTCAAACATACAATTACACCCTCATACATACATACACACACACACACAATTACATCCTGCTCACCCCCTCCCCCTCCCCTCACTGCCAGCTGCTCTGCCCCCCTCCCCTCACTGCCAGAAGCTCTGCCCCCTCTCCCCTCACTGCCAGCAGCTCTGCCCTCCCTCCCCTCACTGCCAGCAGCTCTGCCCCCTCACTGCCAGCAGCTCTGCCCACCTCCCCTCACTGCCACTGCTCACTGCCAGCAGCCCTGCCCCTCCCTCCTTCTGTCGCAGCTCTGCCCCCTCCCTTCACTGTCAGTAGCTCTGCCCCTCACTGCCAGCAGCTCTGCCCACCTCCCCTCACTGCCAGCAGCTCACCCCCCCCCTCCCTCACTGCCAGCAGCCCTGCCCCCTCCCTTCACACTGTCAGCAGCTCTGCCCCCCTCCCTTCACTGTCAGCAGCTCTGCCCCCTCCCTCACTGCCAGCAGCTCCCCCCTCCCCTCACTGCCAGCAGCTCTGCCCCCCCTCCCCTCACTGACAGCAGCTCTGCCTCTCCTCACTGCCAGCAGCTCAGCCTCCCCCCCCTCACTGCCAGCATCTCTGGACTCCCTGTTCACTCCCTCTTACTGTCTGACAGCCTTTTATACAGACAAACCTAAGTCCCGCTTGGGCTGCCCGGCTGTGCCTGAATAACAGGTCACATGCTTTCTGAGTGTAAAGACTGTCAGACGGAGCAGGATTACTAGGGTGGTTTCTCTCCAGACTCGATCCTCCTGGCTGCCTGCTACATATGTACAGCTGCTGTGAGTGGAAACACAGTGAAATGCTGTTCCAGGCCCACAGTGTGAGTGTGTTTCTGCAGCACTGTGGAGCCCCAGCTGCCACAGCCCGCCGGAAACATTCTGGCCCTTGCGGCGCCCCCCACCTTGTGGCGTCTGGGTGCAGTGCACCCGCCCGGGATCTCCTGTCCCCACCGGCCCATTGAGGCTTAGTGCAGAGCCGGCGCTCGGATAGCGCCGGCTCTGCATGAGCTGACAGGGGAGATCCTGAGATCTCCCCTGCCGCTCTCAATCCATAGGCGTACTGCAGGGATTAGGGTGTGCCCAGGCACACCCGGCATACCCTGTGCGCACGCCTATGGTGCTAAGCATATAATTGTGCAAGAAATTTATATTTTTGTTCAGGATTTACAGATGAAAATTAAGGAAAGGGGCCTCAGCTAGGGAAAAGGACAAATGAGTCATTTGTTACATGTGAGTTTACAGAGGAAGAGGTTATATTTCAACTGTCAAAAGTAAAGACAAATAAGTCAATGGGACCTGATGGAATACACCCAAAGTTATAAAAAGTGCTTAGTAGTGTACTAGCAAAACCATTAACAGATTTATTTAACCAATCATTGTTAACAGGAGTAGTCCCAGAAGATTGGAAGTTAGCGAATGTTGTTCCCATTCACAAGAAAGGTAGTAGGTAGGAGTCGGGCAACTATAGGCCAGTAAGCCTTACTTCAGTAGTGGGGAAGGTAATGGAAACCATGTTAAAGGATAGGATTGTTGAACATCTAAAATCACATGGATTTCAAGATCAGAATGGGTTTACTTCAGGGAGATCATGCCAAACTGATCTTATTGATTTTTTTGATTGGGTAACTAAAATAATAGATCAGGGTGGTGCAGTAGACATTGCCTACCTAGATTTCAGTAAGGCTTTTGACACTGTTGGACATAGAAGGCTTATCAATAAACTGCAATCTTTAAGTTTGGTTCCCAATATTGTTGAATGGGTAAGGCAGTGGCTGAGTGACAGGCAACAGAGAGTTATAGTCAATGGAGTAAATTCAAAGCATGGACTTGTCACCAGTGGGGTACCTCAGGAATCTGTACTTGGACCCAAGGCAAGGGAGCAGGATCTCCCCTGTTGACCCTGGCACATGGGCAACATTGTGGGGCCCCTATGCCTGTGGGGCCCCAGTCAACTGCCTAGCGTTCCCATGCGGAAAGACGGGCCTGGTCCAGTTCAAATATTGTATTAATTATAATATGTAAAATGTAATGTAGTCACATAGTTACATAGCTGAAAAGAGACTTGCGTCCATCAAGTTCAGTCTTCCTTACATATGTTTTTGCTGTTGATCCAAAAGAAGGCAAAAAACCCAGTTTTAAGCGCTTCCAATTTTGCAACAAACTAGGAAAAAAAAATCATTCTTGACCCTAAAAGTGCAGCCAGATATCTCCTATGTATGTTATGTTTTTGGAAGTATTTATCCAATTGCTGTTTTAACATGGACTCTGATAAAACCCCCTCTTCAGGCATGGAGAATTCCATATCCTTATAATTCTTACTGTAAAAAAACCTTTCCTTTGCCTTAGATTAAATCTCATTTTTTCCAGCCTAAATGCATGAACTTGTGTCCTCTGAATAACCCTGTTTATGAATAGATTTCCAGATAATGGTTTGTACTGGCCCCGAATATATTTGTATAATGTTATCATATCCCCTCTGAGGTGTTGTTTTTTCCAAACTAATGAGATTTACATTTTTGAACCTTTCTTCGTAACTAAAGTCTTCCATTCCTTTTTTCAATTTTGTAGGTCGTCTCTGCACTTTTTATAGTGCCATGATATCCTTCTTTAGAACAGGTGGCCAAAATTGCACAGCATATTCAATGTGTGGTCTTACCGGCGATTTATAAAGAGGCAAAATTATATATTCATCCCTAGAATTTATGCCCTGATATATACATGACAAAACCTTACTGGCACTAGCAACTGCAGATTGACATTGCAGATTGCTACCTAATTTGTTGTCTATAATAATTCCCAAATCCTTCTCGTTTGTGGTTATCCATAATTCACTACCATTTAGGCTATAAATTGCTTGTGAATTCTTGACCCGAAGTGCATAACTTTGCATTTCACTACATTAAATTTGATCTGCCATTTTAGTACCCAGTCCCCCAATCTATCTAAATCCCTCTGCAGCAAAACAATATCCTGCTCACTTTTTTTTATTACTTTACAGAGTTTTGTGTCATCGGCAAACACTAAAACATGGCTTACAATGCCTATTGCAAGATCATTTATAAATATGTAAATAGAAGCAGTCCCAAAACTGAACCCTGAGGGACACCACTTACCACTTTTGTTCAGCTTGAAAATTTACCATTAATGACAACTCGTTAAGCCAATGTTCTACCCAAGAACAAAAATATTCATCTAGACCAATTTCTTTTAGTTTGAAGACTAACCTATTGTGAGGAACCGTATCAAATGCCTGGGCAAAATCTAAGTAGATCACATCCACTGCAACATCCTGATCTATACTTTTACTTACTTCTTCATAGAATGCAATCAGGTTAGTTTGGCATGACCTATGTTTCATAAAACCATGCTGATTATTGCTAATATCAAAGTTCTTTCCAATGAATTCCTGAATGTTATCCCTTAAGAGCCCTTCAAATATTTTCCCAATCACAGAAGTTAAGCTCACAGGTCTATAATTTCCAGGCAAGGATTTCAAACCCTTTTTAAATATAGGAACAACATCTGCCTTCCTCCAATCCTCCGGTAAATATCTGAAACAAAAGAATATTGAAAGAGTAAATACAGAGGTTCACTTATTTCCCCACTTAAGTACTTGTGGGTGAATACCATCAGGCCCCAGAGGGAGGGAGGGAGGGACGAAGGGAGGGAAGAAAGGAAGGAAGGAAGGACAAAGGGAGTGAGTGATTATCAGAGACTGCAGTGGAGAAAGTGTAGGGATGTATTCTAAGCAACTGAGCCAAGCCAGGCTTATCAGAGATGGCATGGGAGAAAGTAACAAATGTATTTAAAGTATGGAGCAGCAGAGGCATCAGGCTTAAACAACGCAGCAGGCATGGAGTAAGAATGGAGGCTATATCAGGGGAAGTGGAGTATTCCAATTCCACTGCCTGGTGCAAGCTGGCTGTGACTGCCCAGTAGACAGGTCTGTCTTTTCGTGCAGCATATTTACTGCCCGAAAAGGATACATTGGGAAGTACCAGTGGACGTCAGCAATGAGGGTGATTCACACTACTTATCATAGGATTTAATCAGATTTTTTTTCCAAACGACAATAAATCCAATTTTTATTTTACTCACTCTATCAGCAATAGAGGGACATTATAATGGGAAGGAAAGTGAAACATTATTAGCAGTACTAATAAATGCATGTCCTATCTGTTTTCAGTGCAGATATGTGCGAGTTGCCATTCTCTGAAATTAAATTGTATATATTATTTGTGCACATAGTACTTGCATTATAAGGTTGGATTTTTTTGAGATTTTTTATTTTTATTTTTAGTTATACACATGAAAGTGTTGTAGTAAAGATTGTAGTTATATTATTCCAGTGATGCATATGTAAAATAACAAATTAAATTAATATCTTGTAATATCATTCATGCTGGACTAAAAGAATTCTGGAAGAATTTTAGAATTTAGATCGCTAATATCAACCACTGAATATTAAAAATAAAAACTACTGTGGAATGTCAGTTTAGGTATCACCAGCACTACTGTGGGCTTAACTTAATTCAAAGGGAATTTTTAATACTAGCTTTTCCCTTAGTGGAAACTTTGAATAATTTTTGTGAATTTTGGAATGGCAAACTTTTTAGACTCTCACATTTTTCACTTGAGAAATGGAGGATCTCTGAAAACCTGTCATTCCAAAATTCTGGTTGTACATTGTGTCCTGGTCTCGTGGGGATGCTTGTAAGCCAGCCTCCTGTTTACAGACTATGGACCCTGTACAATAGACACTGTAAATGAACCAAAAAGGTAGAGGTATAAGGAGACCTTGGGGGGGCAGGTAGGGGAGGGGAGTTAATTCTAACCCTCAACTGTGGCTGGGTGAAATCTGGGGATCACCAGGACCTACTTACCCACCAAACGCCTCATTGGGAGATACCTTGAAACTTTATGGTGCTATTCACTGGTCCTGAACTGTGTCCAGTGAATCTTTCATCGGGTATACCCCGCCCACTAATAACATTGCTCTTTGATTGGAGTATATACCTTCCTTAGAACTAGAAGAACCCATCAAAACAAGACAACCATATGAAAATCTGTGCCTGATGAGGGGATGGCCATGACCCAGTGGAACTTTAAAGTATTGTCGCTTGGGCTGGGTACTTTTTACTGAGACATCTGGTATCTGGAGGTACTCTGTTTGGAAAGGGAGTTTTGGGCCCTGGTGGCATATCTTGAGGGGACACAGCAGGAGGGAAATATTATTAACTCTGTACTGATCATGTTAAATTATTCAATTACTTATCAGCCCTGAGAGAGTGGAAGGGATTGCATTGTGTTAAATTGTAGTGTATGGTTCATCCCCACCTGGGGATTATAAATACATGTGGTACATGCTTCATAAATGTGTTCTGTTTTATCCATATATTAAGCCTCAGCTAATGCTTTAGGGGAAAGAGTTATAAACTCTCTGTGCAATAGAATTAAAAAAATATAGAATCTAGCGGTAGTGTCAAGGAAGTCCCTTCATCCAGAAGACTGCAACAGGATCTGAAGCACATTGGATCCTCCTGTTAACACAGAAGAAGCTGACCTGGATGAGGTAATTGGTCTGAGTATAGGAGCTCCATCACATCTACTAATAGTCAAATACCTGAGTCAGGGGCGTATTAGCCGCGAGGCAAACAA